CGGATTCCGGGGCCCGACCGACGGCTCGCGAAATTTAACCTTCTATTCCCTTCCAGCACCGCTTCAAACGCGCGTTTAATGCATCGCGATTATGAATCCGACAGATTTATTGGGCGACGTGCTCGTAACGTTTCCCGTATAGCCAGGAATTTTTTTAATTTATGCGCTTCCCACGATTTACGGGCGTCCACCCCCCGTGCCGCTCTTCGACCGAATTCTGAAGGGACGCCGTGACGTTGATGTGAATCTGCACGTATCTTGGTTGATTTTTTTCCATTGTCGTTATTGCGCGGAATGCGACCATTACGCTCGAAGTAATATTGATTGGAACAATCAGAATTGGGAATTTAAATTTTTGAACGTTTTCGCTGGTCCAAGGGGATGAATTCAACGTACGCGATTCTGGGGTTTTAAGGAAGTTATTATATAATCTCACGCATTTCCATGTTACATTTTTATGCATCTGCTTTCGTGGAATAAATGGTTAAAGGGTTTCTATATTTTAAGGGTGCTTTGGTAAGGCGGGCGGAAGAAAAAATGTTCGCCTACGTAATGAAGACTTGCTTTTTGCCACATGTTTATGAATGCGAGCAACATTTTCACGGAAAAGTATGTTACACGATGATACAGTCGGAAATTAAGCTTCTAAATCGTTGACACGCATGTTGAAGAAAGCACGTACAGCTCCTTGATAAATTACCTGGGAAAAGATAACCCGTGTTCTTGGTTCCTATTCGTAGGTCCTTTTACCGAAATGTAAACTACATATAATTTTGAAGTAACTTTAGAACGTAAGTCACTTCAGATTCATCATCTTTCTGTATTACACGTTCCGCCATTTTTATTCTCGCGACTTTACACCTACCATTGACAGTCTAACACCTTCACCTTTGGAGACCTTCGACTCACATTGCCCCATGGCACCCGTTTTCGCGGTTATCCCCGTGAATCGCATCCTCTATTATCGCATCCTCTTCTTAATTAATTAATGCCGACCCGAGCTAGAAATCGTACGCGTTTCGCAACGACGTTCGCCGACGTTCCTCCGCTTGGCCAACAGGCCCATTGTTCGCGGAACCCGGCGGGATGAAGAAATTGTTTCAGTTTTTTCACTGGATGACGAAATGAATGCGTTGTTCGAGCGCGCGCCGCACAGAAAATCTAATAGCCGAGCGGACGCGCGCGCGGGTACGCGCAAAATTGGGGGGACAAACGTCCGCGCGTACCCGCGCGGCGACAAACTGCTAGAACCAGCTGCAAATCAAGCTCCAGAGCGAAAGAAATCGCTCGAACGTGACATCCTCCATTAACGTTTAATCCTTCGGTTCACTTAGCACGTAATTCCCGTGCTCTTGACGTTTCGTGTTTCACCGTACTCGCGGAATGAAGTTTTAACGAGAGACGCCCTGCGTCGCCGGAACACAAAACGTGTGCCAACATGGCGTCGCGTCGCCGGGCGCTGTAAAAACGGAATTCATTGGAACACGCTTAACAAGATTTATTTCTCTCCCTTGGACAGCACAATATATCGAGTTACTGTTTGTTTTAATGCGGCGACGAAATAGTTTAAATTTAAATCAACCGACCGCCATGTTGTTCCTTAAATATCGCGGGATTTTATAGAGAAGCTGGATGATTATTGTTGAAGCCGTTGATTTTTCAATATAGTAGCATTCTTATTTCAAATAACGAATTGATTTCTATCTTCGAGGATTTATAGTTAATTATTGAACTAACGTCTGTACGAGTCATACAGAATCACAGTTTACTTAATGACATAAAATTCGTGCATCTCATAGACACTAACAATCATTGGTTCGTTTGAGAGTTTATTTAAAATTTCTTCATCGAAAATATGGGGTTTGTATTGTAATAGTGACAAGGATTGCTAAGAACAATAGATTGTGTAAACGAAATGATTCTCTTTGTATTTAAGGGGAGATACGAGGGCAACAATGTATTCGGTTTGAAATGGAAGCTCCAAATAGAAGCACATGCCCCGTTTGATGTGCACGCTCGTCAAGTGTTGTGTGGAGGAGCAGCGGTTGTGGGCTTTTGCTTGTAAATCTTATGCATTAATCCTGCGTTCTTGTTATTTCTCGTTGTTGTAGCCACGAAATTGCAGTACAGTCATAATGCACTTCTTTCCTGCGAAACTTTCACTTAGTCCGTTACTTCATGTTTAATTCTATTTTATTACGAAGGTAAATTACGTAATCATCGCTATCGCGCTGCAGCGCTTTCATAAAACTATACTTGGCCTTGTACTTGCAAATTCCTTTCGCACAAGAGGAAATTACGACGACAGACACTGTCGCGTATCTTCTTTGCGAGATTCCTTCATCAGACATAATTTCAACTCATCA